AAACCATTTCAGGTGACTACCTCTTGAAGCTCATGGAGAGAATGCCAAGAGTGTGCAAAGCAGTAATCAGAGCAAAGGGTGGCTATTTTGAAGAAACTAGAATATAAAACATGTTTTCAGTTATTTCACCTTTTTTTGTTAAGTACATAACTCCACATGTGTTCATTCATAGTTTTGATGCCTTCAGTGAGAATCTACAATGTAAATAGTCATGAAAATAAAGAAAACGCATTGAATGAGAAGGTGTGTCCAAACTTTTGGCCTGTACTGTATATATATGTGTGTGTGTGTGTATGTGTGTATAGGATAGATATCACTGTATCACTTACAACACTTTTGATGCTAGTTTAGAAAAAGCATACATATGGTAAAAACACAGTAAATTCATTATTCCAAACTTACCTCTTGCCCATTTTGCAACGCAAGTGCTTGGATAAGGATTGACTGATCAGGGAGTCTATTCCTCACACGCCTTGTGCGTGCTGACAATAACCAATAAATGATCACGCCCAGAGCTGCCAGTGTCAACAACATTTTGTAGAGAGGGGGATAAGTGCTGTCCCATTCCTATTTGTAGCATCCAGAGCCCTTTCAGACTCTCACACTCAATCACTTACAGCTGACGTCAGTTAAGTCAGTGAGGGTTCAGGGCTTGAGTCTTTAGGGGCCGGACTGGAATTGGGCCATTCTGATATTTCCAAGGATCAGTGAGTAAAAACAGAACATCTGTCTCAGGTCATCACACGAGCTCCAACATGGCGCCAACGATATGGTCCCATGAGCTGACCTGAGACTGAGACTTACAAACACCTCAGGTATTATTGTTATACCTCTTTATTTTAAGGTGTTTGGACATTTTAAAGGTGCTGTTCACCAAGTTTGAGAATAAATACACCGATACATCAGTCACACAATGTGCTGTGCTATACCTGAATATAAAATAATGGAACAATAGACAGTAATAATTAGAGATGTACAGATACCACTTTTTCCTTCCTGATACCGATTCTGATCCCTGAACCTTAGGTATCTGCCGATACCGAGTACCGATCCGATAGCAGTGCGTAAAATAACAATGGATGGGATATGAATTGTTGTATGTCTCAACTCCTAAAACTCTGTGTAAAATATTAAGAAATAAATACATAATAGTAGAATGAATGCCATAAAACTTTTTATTATTATTATTATCGTGTTGACACAGATCAAGACACAGGTTAAAGTGCAGCCACACAATGAATGTAGGGCTTGTGTTAACAAATACAAAAATTTTCACCAGATGGCTTAAAGTAAGAACATTAACAAATAGTGTCTTTTGCTCAGCACAGCTGCAGAGGCTAACAGCTTCATGTGAAACAGACTACATTATAGACAGTCCGTTATTTATTAATCCCTCTGTCTCTTTATATATTTCCTTTTTATCCGCTCCCGTTGTCTTGATAAAGTTAATGCTTCATGCCGTCATTTCAAACTCAACACTTCCTGAAGGTGTTTCAAATTAAAAGCCCCTTATAACTTCGGCTGAGAGAAGCCCTCCATTTTCTAAATAGGCTTTTATTGTGAAACATTTGTAGGAACTTGGTTGTGGAAGATACAGTAGCTTGAATGTTTACGTCCGGCACTTCAAATGTAGCTCCTGCCATCTGCTGATGCTTTTAGGTGACTACAACAACATGTCTGCTGGCACATGAACACACACAGTGACTCAAATAATAGTAAAAGCAATAAGAATAGGACAAGAATAACCCGATGACATCACACACGCCGTGAAAGACGACCGGGGATAATTGGTGAGTACCATCGTGTAGTGTGTCATGGCTGTCGGCCAAGTCACGGCATGATTTCATGACTCCACAATTGTGTAATGTGACATAGTGACTTTCAGAACGGGCAGAAAAGTCATGTAGTCCTTCCTGCATGTCGCTCATTTTCAGTGTGTGACTGCAGCGTGTGCACGAGAGGGGGAGGGGCTGCTGTTGTCAGAGAGGCGAGCAGAGCAAAGAGCAGAGCAAAGAGCGATGGCGATGTTCAAACGATATATCAGCCCTAGTTCAAATGTCACCAAATTCAACACTGCACATCCTCGAGTACGTTAAAACAGATGGGTGGATTAATCTGTTCAAAATGATTCATTCATTAAGGCTTTTGCTAAAATATTTGCCCTCTGTTAGATAATGACCTCCTGGTGACTGTAGCAGGCAGCAGTGATGATGCTTCCTGTCTGTCTGACTGAACACACTCCTGTACGAAATGTCCCAACAGTCACAATGTTCTGTCTTCACATTTATCTTTATGTCCCAACTGAGGACTGAAGAGTTTCCACCTGCCAGCTCTGTCTGCTTTACATCAGTCTGAAGTCTTCATCACTGATGGATGGAGAGACGTGAAGACAAACACGCTGCAGCTTCCTCCAGCTGTCTGATCTGGGCCCTTATCTGTTTGTTTGTTTGTTTGTTTACTCCAGTGATGTCAGTTAGTTAATCATAAAGCATTTAAGGGCTGAAGTGGATCATTAAAGCTGAGAGGCAGCAAAAATCCCATAATACTCTAAACTTATTGTAATTCAGTTAGAAAACTAGACTTATGCTCCTCCTCTTGTTTTTAGGAGACTTTGTCCAATCACAGCTCATTTCAGAGAGAGGTTGGCTATTGGCTGTGCTACAGATGCAGATGTGTGTGTACATCCCTTCAGTCTGATTCAATGGAGGAGAATCCTGCAGAGAAAGTTGCTGCTCCAGCATTGCCAACAACTGTCTCCACTGCAGAGCAACCCAACAAAGAGACGGACTGATCAAACAGAGTCTGAAAGAGAGTCTGACAATAAACTAAATAAAACACGTGTCAGTATCAGTGAAGAGTTTCAGACATGGAGACAACATGATACTAACAGTTTAGCCTTCTGCTAACAGGAGCCAAAGACTCACAGCTGCAGCTTCAGGTTTAGGTTTATGTAGCTAACGTTAGCGAGAGCCTCAAATCACAGTGTGTCCTCCACCTCACTTCCTGCTGCTACAGACCACCTTGCTGTGAGGAGAGCGACAGCAGCACCAGAGACAGACCTCCAGTAAGTGTCCACAGCAGCCTGAATCCAGTCAGATCAAACCTCAGCTCAGGGGAACCAGACAGCCCTGACCCCATAGCAAAGTTTCTGTTGCTGCTGTAACTCAGGTTAGACCTGACCCTGCTGCTGACCACCAGCCTGCTGTGACACCTGGCGCTGGAGTGTGCACAGGCTGGATTTGAGTTGGATGCAGTCCACAGCAGTGGGGAGCTAGGCGGGGGGACCGTGGGGGGCTAGCAGCTAAATCTTGTCTCATCTGTGGTCTGATAAACAGAGAGAATGGAGCGAGGAGGGAATGTGGGCAACTCCGCATGAAATAAATCAGTGTATGGGAAACACTGATGAAGTACGTACATGTGTCCGTGGTCGTCTGGTGGGAGGGGCTTAGGACAGAGAGGGGAGGGGCTGCAGGAGGAGGGTGTGTTTTAAATGAATGTGTGTGTGTCTGAAGCAGAGAGCTGTTGTTCTGTGTGAGAATCGCTGATGATGATGATGACAGTTATATTTTAGTAAAGTTAGATGAACACCAAACTTTGTCTCAGTTTCAGGAGGATTCACACTGATGTCTGAGAGTTTGTTTATTCAGACCTAAAACTGTGTGATGAAGTGAAACATGACAGAAGCAGCTGTCAGCTCGCTGCTGACTCAGATCTGCTGCTGCAGTATTTTCTCAGAGCAGCCTGAGCTGCAGAGATGAAATCAACCCGTACCCAGCTTGACTTCAGCGTTCTCCGTCAGCAGCACGTTCTGACCCTTGATGTCACGGTGGATGACGTGATGAGCATGCAGGTGAGCCAATCCCTGCAGAGAAGAAGAAACATGTCACACACTGACTTTCATCAGACACAACATCTGAAACTTTATCTGCCTTTACTGCTGTCGGAGGTCTGATTGTCAACAGGAAGTGGTCATAACGGACGGACTGACCCTGAGGATCTCTCTGGAGATGTAGGCGATCCAGTCCTCCTTCAGCGTGTTTCCTTTGGTGTTCTTCACCAGATCTGTGATGGAACCGGCGCCGCAGAACTCCATCACCAGCTGGAGGACAGGACAGGACACACTCAGAGGACTGTGGACATTCACACGTTCATGCACAGTCACACACTCACACATGTGTGTCTGACTCTGTGTGTGTGTGTCTGTGTGTGTCTGTCTGTCTGTGTGTCTGTGTGTGTGTGTGTCGGTGTGTCTGTGTCTGTGTGTGTGTGTGTGTGTGTGTGTCTGTGTGTCTGTGTGTGTCTGTCTGTCTGTGTGTGTGTGTGTGTGTCTGTGTGTGTGTCTATCTGTGTGTGTCTATCTGTCTATCTGTGTGTGACTATCTGTGTGTCTATCTGTGTGTGTCTATCTATGTGTCTATCTGTGTGTGACTATCTGTGTGTCTATCTGTGTGTGTCTATCTATGTGTCTATCTGTGTGTGTCTATCTGTGTGTCTGTCTGTATATTCATCTTTGGCTCTGATCTGATGGACATGTCCCAGTGTCTGCTGTCAGCATGACACTGGGATCAGACTGGGATCAGACTGGGATCACTGGACTGAAATCAGGTTTTATTATGTAGAAACATGAATGATAAACAGCTGAGCTGTACTCTCAGGTCACATGACCTGGACTTAAGTCACAAGACTTAGACTATAAAAACCTAAACTTGAAAGAAAGACTTGAACTCGACTCGGCCCAGTTAGAAACTAGACTTCATCCAGCTCTGATGGTCTGACTCTGACTCAGCAATTCAGATCAGTATTATAATATATAGGTGAGTGTCATTAGTTCATGTAGGGCAGAGCATGTGAGCGGAGCTAGAGAGGAAGGATTTTGTGTTGAGCGAGGAGCGGCTATTTTTTAAAAGGTGGAGCGGAGCCTTATTTCTTGCTCCAATTTCGCTCCGGTCGCTCATGCCCCACCCAGAATGCATCTTTGCACCTGCGCACACCCACACTATTTTCTTTCAAAACTATGGAGTTTACTGTGTACTTCAGAAAAGAAACTGAGAAGAGAAGCAGCGGTACCATGAAGAACAGTCCCTAACTGCGGGGAGAGGGCTTCCCCAGAGAATCTACCAAGCTCATGTTTTATTTGTGAATAGAAGATTACAGGTTAGGGTAGTACGATGCAGTTTTTTTGAGCAGAGTGGTGAGCGAGTGGAGCGGGATAAAATTTATGATGGAGTGGACCGGAGCGGAGCGAAGAGTGGAAATTTTCACCCACTCCGCTCCGCTCACATGCTCTGATGTAGGGACATATCATAGATGCATAAATATTCCACTCTCAGCTGGAGTCTGTCCGTCCTCTGTGACACTACTGACCACTGCACTGAGTTCTCCACATACTAAGACTGTCTGACTTCCTCTGATGAAACTTTTCAGTTTGTTATATTAGAATTTAACTTAAACTTAACCAATTCAATCAGTTGGTTTTATTATAAAACCAGTTGATTAAACTGGATCTGGGACGTCAGCGTTTCCATTTCTAGCTGACAGAAGATTTAAATAACGACTGTTTTCAGCTGTGACATTTATCAACGTCTGATCAGTCGTACGCTGTGACTGTTGAGATCAGAGTGTTTCATGAACTACAGGTGAATCTTGAGGTGAGATGATTTCTGCACTTTGATCTGTGAGGATTTGGATGTTAGACTGATCAATGACACTGAGCTGTGTGAGGAACTGTCGAGATGTTGAATCATCACTGATGATGAAGAACAACCAGCTTCATCCAGCTGAGTCTGAAACATCACTGAGTCCTGACAAGTGTAAAATAAAGTGAAACAGATGCAGAAATCTTTTCTTCTATCACCACTAATGAAACAAACGTACCCAGAGCTGGTCGTCGTGACCTGGAGGACTCTTCTTGATGAAGGCTCCGTAGTAGGTGGCGATGTTTCTGTGGTGGGAGTACTTCTTCAGCATGTTGATCTCCAGCTTAATTTCCTCCTCTTCATCCTGTAACAGACACAGACAGACCCATCAGTGAGGGGTTATTACTGCCTGTGAGACGTGGTGGAGGGAGTGACACCAACTGATGGAGCAGATCAGACAGAAGTCTGTTTACTCCTGGTCCTGTTGTGTTTAAAGATGGAGGCTCAGAGGACAGATAATCAGCACTGGACTCAAAATGTATTCATGTTTTTTCCTGCTGTGATCATTGATCATATTTCTGTGTCTCTAGCACCTTTTACACTGCCAGATTTTCGGCGAATGTTGGGCCGTTTTGCCACAAGCTGCGAGCGTTTAGACACACAGAGCCGGATTGGCGAGTCGATCCGAGGTGCCCAATTTTCCGCCTCGAAGGGCATAGTGCGAATTATGCAATTGCGACTTCATCCCCCCTAAAAGAGGTAAAAATAACATATTGGGGGGGTTGAAATATTTATCTTTCTTATCACTAATCATGAATATTACAATATACAGTATTTTCCATATTCATGCCAGGACGAAGCTTGTAGTACAATTTCAAACTATAGCATTTCATCTTGTCTGCCTGCGTCACTCCAATCATTGCACTAGCTGGCTCACATCCAAGATTTTGTCGGCGCATCCCAGAAAAAAAAAAAAGACTTCACGCCGCATTTACACAATGCTGTAAATTAATCTAAGTAACTATCTAGCTAGTTTAATGATGACTGACTTTACGTCACACGCTGAGCTACACGTTTTGTTACTTGGCACATAAAAAGGCACATTCTGTATAAACAAAAGTAGGTAGGTGGCATTTTGCTGCACTCCCTGATTTTGTTTTTATACTGTCAATGCTGAAAAAAGACTGATTGGGCTTTCCTGCAAATTTGCACAATTCCTGTTTAAAAAGGGCTAGTGTCTCCTTTAAACCAAAGTCCATATTTCATCTGTGTTAGTTTTACACTCTCGGCTCACTGTGCTGAGCTCTGAGTCTGAAGTCCAGACGGTCCTTCACAGTGAGGTTTGGAGATCTAACGCTGTGATGGACTAAAGGCTGATCTGTACCACAGGATGTCCAGCAGCTCACTACACAGTGTAGAGAGGAGAACAGGTGACTATCAGAGGACACATTTTCAAAACATACAGATTTCCTCCACCGTGTTTCAGTCAGACGAGCCGACAATATTCACACCTCGTGTGTGTAATGTTTGAAGCTCTGGCCCTCGTCCCAGTGGAGCGACTGATAAAGTGACTCATAAAGAAAATAAATAAGAGCTGTAAAAAAAAGTCAAAATAAAACTTTTTATTATTAAACTGTTTTCAGCTGAAGAGCCGAGCGAGGAAACACATGATGTCTGAAGTACCGTCCTGACGGATATGACTCTGAACAAATATGTAGATACAGCAGCCTGAGGTGAGGACGATAACAGAGACCAACGTCTCTCAGGATATTACTGGACATACACACACACTCTGACACACACACACTCACACACTCAGACTCAGACACCAGATCAGCTGATTATTCCTCCATCACTGAGGCACTGTGAGATTTATTTACATCAGCTGAACCTGAATCAGTGCGTCTGATCCCGCCGGCCGACCGGAGTCAACATGACACGACATTTTCACTGTTATTATGGCCGGGCGATAAGACAGAGTGTGACGGGCGGCGGCACAGACTCCTCTGCAAACCAAGCACTGCAGAAACCTTGTATATCCACAGAGCAGAAACACGTGAAGAGCTCTTAGTACTTCAGTTTATCAGGAAACCTTTGGACCAATCAGAGCAGAGCTGAGAGCGGAGGGAAATGGCCCGACTCTGTCCTGCCGAGGAGACACTGTGTCGTCCAACAGGACTGAAAACAGTTACGTAAGAAAACAACAGAATTCAGACGTGACGTTGAACTGCAAAGAGTTAAACGTTATATGAGAAGAGTATGTGACTGTCAGAGGAACTTAAACTTTAACTGAAGGTTTTAGTAAATATTTCTTCACTGTGCAGAGACATTTTCCAGCCACTGTCCTGATCACTGCAGGTAGCTGCGTCCCTCTGTCGGCTGTCACACAGATACGACTTTTCTAGCAGGAAGTGGTAAGTATTAAGTCAAAACACAGACGTCTTATCGTGTGCTGCAGCAGCGACAGACGACAGGCGGCTGACGACTCAACCTTCATATCAGGTAACATGCATGCTGACACAGATATATATCTGTGAGAGGCTGATATCATCAGATATAATCAGCTAATCGATGCATCGGGCAGTCTCTACAAACTGAGGCCTTATTTTAGATCAATGAGTTCAATGTTTTTCAAAACTTTATAAGAACTGTCTCCTCCCACTAAAACACTGAGCTGACCGTCGGAGGCTGGTGACGAGTCGAGGTGACGACATAAATGTTGGTAACCCTAAATATAAAGTTTGTACACAAACACAGTTTAACTGATCATATAAAGGACAAACTGACGAGAACACTGTCGACATATGAAGACTCCTATCTTGTGTTTCTGTTGTTATACGTGTTTTATCAGACATGTAAGAAACTGTTTATATGATGAATTTCTTAAAGGGAGTTTGGGGTCATATTTTCCAGCAGGAGCATGATGGGACATGATTTTAAAAAAGAATCTGGTTGTAGTCTGTGAATAGTGGCGCTGCAAACATCCTAAATCTTTGTAAACTCTTATATAACCTGCGAGTACAGACTCAGATAGTCAGTGGGTGTGGAGGCTGTGTCCAAACTGTTCTGGTGTACGGTAACATCAGGCTGTTATATCTTAAAGTGTGGTAGTGTCACACAGACATCAGGCTGTTACATCTTAAAGTGTGGTAGTGTCACACAGACATCAGGCTGTTATTACAGTGTACATTATCTGCTGTTTCCTGCAGCTGAAATATTCCTGAGAAGACGCCGCCACATGAACGCACCACAGAAACAGTCTGTTCTTCATTTAGCTTTAATCTGCTGAGCCCGTTTAAAGAGTTCTGACTCTCCGTGAAAATGACGGGGTCAGTCGGTCAGCCGGCCTCTCAGCCAATCCTGTGAGTTGGTGTTCGTCAGCCAGCCCGTTGGTTCCTGCCTCAGCCAGGCAGCCCGTCATTTAACCAGGCAGCTCGCCAACCAGCCAGCCAGGAGGCCGACGGACCAGACTGCAGGCCAACCAGTGCTTCCGTTAATCTGCTCATCAGCAGTCCAGCCAGCCAGTCACCCAGCAGGTGAGCCAGGCCGTCAGTCTGTCCGTGAGTCCGCCAGATATTTAAACAATAAGAGCAGTGGCACACTGACAGACATCCAGAGAGTTGACACACGCAGACACACTGAACATCCCATCGCCCACTAATTGTTGGTCATGTGAACGTTTTTGGAACGAATCAGTATAATTACAGATGCTGAGAACGGACTGGAGGAGCAGGACATACACATGATTCACCAAGACATGAAGACAGGCTGAGCGGAGAAGAAGAAGAAGAAGAAGAAGCAGAAGAAGAAGAAAAAGCAGAAGAAGAAGAAGAAGAAGAAGAAGAAAAAGCAGAAGAAGAAGAAGAAGAAGAAGAAGCAGAAGAGACACAGGGACAGTTCTTCATGATCAGGACAGAAAACAGACACCGACTAAAAACCTGCCGTCAAACTGAGTCTGCTGATAATGTTTGATGATGTCACCAATCAGTCAATATACTTCAAGAAATTAATAGATAGGTTTTTTTAAAGAATTATTTTTACTCAAGTCAGTGGACTTTTATTTCCATCATCATCCTCACTGTGACCTCGTCACATGTCCACATTTGGTCATGGACTTTCCACGTCCACATATGACGTCCAAGGTACCCTGGGTGTGTTGGTTGTTGACGTTCTGGGACGCCGTGTCAACTTCAGCCTGTTACATGCATTGTCTGTTTTCAAAATACACTTCTGTTTTCACAGGAAATGTACAGTTTGATACAGTCTCTTTCAAAATAAAAGCACTACGTCGGTACAACGCCACCAACTGACATCGTCTTTCTTCAACAACAGCATGTGGTTGGGTTTAGGAAAAAAGAACAGGGTTTGGTTTTACAGTCTTACAGGAAGTGAACACTGGCCTGGACACAGCTGCTTTGACAAGGAGACGGTGACATCATCTGTCTCTCTGTGTTATCTGTCCACTGTCCATTTATTGTGGGCACTCAGTGTCTCTGTCACTCTCGTCCTCGCAGCTTCACCTTCAGTCCGTCTCCAGTAATGACTTCCGCCCCGTCTTTATGTGTCCCATCATTAACCACACCTCACCTCTGTCCGTCCTTCACTCTGTCTGTCTCTGTGTCTGTCTCTGTCCATCCTTCACTGTCTGTCTCTGTCTGTCTCTGTCTCTGTCCATCCTTCACTGTCTGTCTCTGTCTGTCTCTGTCTCTGTCCGTCCTTCACTCTGTCTGTCTCTCTCTGTCTCTGTGTCTGTGTCAGTCTCTGTATCATGTTCCCTCAGACTACACGTCCACTGTCTGTCACTGAAGCTGCTCATTATCATTCCTGGGTATGACACGGTGGGCAGACTGGGTGGCGGCAGCCATCTTGCTGCTGAAGTATTACATCACCTAGTGTGAGCAGAGCTGAGAGAGCCACGACCCCCCGGGGGAGCACACCACCACCACAACATGGAGGCATGATGGCAAATGGAAGCTGAGGAGGATGGAGACTCTGACAGAGAGGTGGACATGTCTTTAACAGGACATGGCTTTAAACGCTCGCTGTGCTCCTGTTGTATCTAAACAGGAAATGATCCTCCAGGTTAAAGACACGTCGACCTCTGTTGATCTTTATCAGGCTGAGGTATTACTATGAATCTGATCTGTCACAAAGTATTTCACATCAAAGTTTGTTCAGACTGAATTGTAGAAACCTAAAAACACTGAGACAAAAACAAAAGATCTCACAAAAGAAACTCATGGATCAAACTTTGAGTGGCTGGAATCAAATAATGTTTTACCTGGATGAAAATATTCAACAGATGTTAAAGACTAAAATAAATGTGACTGTAAGGTAAAAACATCAATACATTTATGTATCTGA